AACAGCCGGTTAACAAAACAGTTAGAAGTCCCCACTCTATATCATTTTATTTGCCTGCTGATGAATTAAATGAAAACGTTCGTTCGCCTAACTAGACATTGATAAGTCCAGAGTTCCAGTGGCCTGTAAGTACATTAAGCGGAAACTGGTGAGATTTCCCCTTGTGTGCAAACATTTGAGTTGACCCTGACTTGATATCTCTCGTTGGATTTCCAGCACTTTTGTTGCGAACTTTCACTACTTGGCTCGTTCATCCGACAAGTAGGAAACTTTTTATTGCTTTATTTGTCACAATAAAAACGGAGTCTGACTAGTGCTGACAACGGCTGTTAACTTTAGACAAAAAACCAAACATGGCAGCCTGAATGCTTATCACTTAATAAATCGATGGTATTTGTTATTAGGAAGTGGTGAAAAATTTGTCTTTTTCAAGAAAATCGTTTCTTAAAAATGCCTTTTTTATTTCATCCTGAAAAGCTAGGTAAGACGACTTTCTCTGGAAAATAAAATGAAGGGAATACTATACCGCGGTTTAATTTATAACTTATAAGGCACTGCAAGTCATTTTCGGATATGGTTAAGGCCGTTAGTTTATTTGCTCTCTTAGAACGCAGAAAGCCTTAGATTTAACCAGATACCAAACAAACAAATGTTTACTACGATGATAGGTGATAGGTTATTGGATTGAAACGCTTGGAGTTCAGAAGTTCAAATGTGATACGCTGCAAAGCTACTAACAGCACGAGAGCGAACAGTTAACAACCACAGCAATTTGATGACTCCAAGGTCGTGCGTAACGAGTCGTTTGGTAAGAAAGATATGAGATGCTATGAATACTTAGGGATTAAGGAGGCAGACGATAAACTTACTTTACGTTTCAGGAATTATAGCACTTTTTTAAGCGGTGCCCATGAGTTTAGCATTCTAGCAACTCAGAGCAAACATGTTATTACGTGTTTGTGTTGGAGCTTTCCTTTGCCGAAAGCTCTTGTCACTTGAAGCAGACTGACTTGTGCTGATGTTTCACAGTGCATGTGAAGACACCTGTTATTAGAAAATTGAAGCCGAACTCTGACCTAAAGGATAAATAACTTGCGTGCCTTTATCCACTATCTTTAAAACTATGGATCTGACGATAGGTAGCTAAGGGCTCATACTATTTTCAAGAAATTAGGCGCCGCGAGTTTTGAATAACTGGGTCGGCAAGATTGATTTTATAGGCCCCTAAAATCTCGTCGACTTATTATAAAAAACTACTTAAATGTTCGGTCGCTTGACTTTAAATTTTTTCGTTAAATTCCCCCAATAGCAGAAGAATTTCCATTTTCGTTAAATTCAGCCTACATAAGGTCGAATTTCCCTCGCTTAGTATCCGTACCCTGCGTAACAGAAGTTTATTTTGATCGAAGTTTATTCTATTTTAGCATATAAAAGCAAACATAATATTATTGAACTTAATATTTTTTGATCACTTCCGCCACAATTACATATTAATTTACGCTCACTGGTTAAGAATTAAATGCTTGACCACAAAAAAACGTTTAGCAATTTGTCGGGGGGATAGATGTCTTGAGGGGCCCTTTAAATCCATTTTACCATTGGGTCAACTGAGTATCGGACAGTTTTAGTTTTCTCCGTCAGGCCTAAACACTGAGGAACCACTAGATGAATTTATGATTGCTGCACAGCCCCCATTGCTGGCCACCCACCGTTTTCCTTTCTATTTCAAGTGCTACAAGGAGAATACGCCCGTATGTATAAATTTTTTGGTGGACTAAAGAATTTTGAGGTAACCGCATTTAGTTGGCTTATCTTAACTACCGATACCAACGGTCAGAACCCAACAG